TGGTCAATTTCAGCCTCTTCAGCATCAGCGGTTGGTCCATAAACTTGGATTACTGTGATGTTGAAAGGTCTGCCTTGGATTCGTATTGAAATCATTCTATCATTTTTGAGATTGTATCCCAGTACAGCTTTTCCCACTCTTTTGTTAACTATGAGGGCTACTCCATTTCTTCTATGGGATTCTTGCCCACAATAGTAGATATGATAATCGTCTGAACTGAATTCGCCCATTCCTGTCCATTTTAGTTCACTGACACCCAGGATGTCAATGTTTATTCTTGCCATCTCTTGTTTGACCAAATTCAGTGACGTACAAACATTAAAAAGAAATAAAATTAACACAACATTACAGTGGCTGATAAGGCTCGAAAAAGAGGAGGTCCTTGAGTTTTCCACACATCCTTAGGCAAAGATATCAGATGCTAAGTTTGGAGCCAAAAAAAGCTGGAGAGGATCAGGGAAAGGCTGTCTCGACCCAGCTCTTATTTGACTGTCAGTCCCCTGGCAAAATGAAGAAAGCTATAAGCAAGCCCTGGACAGAGCCGTAAGTAGTCATGGCTATTTTTAAACGACAGCTGCCTCTCTCTCTCTTACTCATATCCACCTCTGAGGAAGTTCACCCTGTCAAAAGATGCCTTGTGACTGGAAAGAAATGTCTTTACCTGTGTTACTCGTAGTATGTCTTCAGAGGCGAATATGCATTAGAATCCAATATGCATTAGCACCTGAAGTTTGCAAGCCGCTGGTTTGTCTTGCCTAACAGTAACACTGTGTTGTTGTTGAATTCTTTGAGGGACAAGTTTCCACAGTTTGCCTGTGGAGAAATTGCAAGCTGACTTCACTCCCCTCCCCAGTTTTTCAGTGGAAAGCCTTTCAGACCATAGGCCTGGGGAGAACCAAAAATGAACGCTGAGAGTTCCACATTGCAGTAATAGGGAATGATCTTCATTGACACTTCCAAGCAGGAATGCATTACTTTTTTGCTCTATCAACAGTGCTGACGGGTAAACCACTTGTGGGTCACTGGGAATAAATCTGGATTTTTGTGAATTTTCCTGGTCACTCTGTATGGGGAATGAACCACTACCTGGTCACTCCGGGGTGTCCGACCATGAACAAGTCCTTTTACTATTGGAATAATTTTTATTCACCCTCTAACTTTCCAAACCTTCTTAGACTGCTATTCTCACCAGCCTTAGCCAACGTAACCACTGATGAAAGATTATCAGAGATGCAGTTCAGCAGCATCTGGAGATACATAGGTTCCTCTTTTGTTCTTGAACATCCAAATAGCTGTGGGTGCCAGATCCTGAAAGCTCTGTTGGGGAACAGAGCAATGCTTTTGGAAGTGGGAGATCTGTACAAAATGCCCATGTTATGCTGGATAAGCAGGGCATCTTGATTGCAGGTCCCATCTGTGAAACAGGACTAGCACTTTGGGCAATTATGTCTTTGTACACTGCAGGAGATATTAATTAGACAAGAGGTTATCAGGAACTGGAGAGAAATGCCAAAAAAAGTGCATCTCGCCTTTTGGAAATGGCAGCTTATCTATCATTACATACCTAAGTCAAACCACTGTCCCATGGTGGAAAAAAAATAGCTAATTTCAGCCCCTGAACAGTGCTGCTAGGGAAACAGGAGAGAGTCATCCTGCATGCTAGTTAAGTGGTGGTGAGAATTTTACTATGTCTCGTTTGTCAGATTTGTGATTTAGAGCATGAGAGCTACCAGACTTTACTTCCTATTGTAGTATGTCTTCAGAGGCGAATATGCATTAGAATCCAATATGCATTAGCACCTGAAGTTTGCAAGCCGCTGGTTTGTCTTGCCTAACAGTAACACTGTGTTGTTGTTGAATTCTTTGAGGGACAAGTTTCCACAGTTTGCCTGTGGAGAAATTGCAAGCTGACTTCACTCCCCTCCCCAGTTTTTCAGTGGAAAGCCTTTCAGACCATAGGCCTGGGGAGAACCAAAAATGAACGCTGAGAGTTCCACATTGCAGTAATAGGGAATGATCTTCATTGACACTTCCAAGCAGGAATGCATTACTTTTTTGCTCTATCAACAGTGCTGACGGGTAAACCACTTGTGGGTCACTGGGAATAAATCTGGATTTTTGTGAATTTTCCTGGTCACTCTGTATGGGGAATGAACCACTACCTGGTCACTCCGGGGTGTCCGACCATGAACAAGTCCTTTTACTATTGGAATAATTTTTATTCACCCTCTAACTTTCCAAACCTTCTTAGACTGCTATTCTCACCAGCCTTAGCCAACGTAACCACTGATGAAAGATTATCAGAGATGCAGTTCAGCAGCATCTGGAGATACATAGGTTCCTCTTTTGTTCTTGAACATCCAAATAGCTGTGGGTGCCAGATCCTGAAAGCTCTGTTGGGGAACAGAGCAATGCTTTTGGAAGTGGGAGATCTGTACAAAATGCCCATGTTATGCTGGATAAGCAGGGCATCTTGATTGCAGGTCCCATCTGTGAAACAGGACTAGCACTTTGGGCAATTATGTCTTTGTACACTGCAGGAGATATTAATTAGACAAGAGGTTATCAGGAACTGGAGAGAAATGCCAAAAAAAGTGCATCTCGCCTTTTGGAAATGGCAGCTTATCTATCATTACATACCTAAGTCAAACCACTGTCCCATGGTGGAAAAAAAATAGCTAATTTCAGCCCCTGAACAGTGCTGCTAGGGAAACAGGAGAGAGTCATCCTGCATGCTAGTTAAGTGGTGGTGAGAATTTTACTATGTCTCGTTTGTCAGATTTGTGATTTAGAGCATGAGAGCTACCAGACTTTACTTCCTATTTGCAGAACAATAGACACTGTGAACAGAGATGTTCTGGTCAGGCTAGTGGTGAGATCCTGCAGGAAAGTAGAAAAGGTGCAACTCCAAAGATAGTCTCAGACGAGCCCCTTTTCCTGACAAGGTCATGAACTTAGCTGAAGCCTTTTATATCTCAATTCTATAAAAATAGATCTTGGTTGTATACCATACTTACAGCCAAAATTCCTCCTAGGTGCCACCATTTCCCACAGAAACCTTAAAGGAATAGCCCTTTGCCTTGAAGCCTCATATGATTTCCTTCTCTCCAGGAGTTCATGCTAGACATTGAGATTGGGGCACTCTTGAAGGAAGATGTGCTTGTCCCAGGGCTGGATGTAGGAATAACCAGTGCTGGCCTTATCTCATGGGCCTCAAGCTCAGGGGTGTCCTGTTCTTCAGTGGCGTTCTGGCCTGGTGTCTCCCTTGCTGGTGCCTTTGGTTTTTCTGTTTCTGAGTCTGTGTCCAAGCCACTTGGTGGACTCCTGGGCCAGAGTGATGGGCTGGCTTGCTCACAGTCTACCACAGTAGTGTAGTTGGTATATGGCAGAATAAAATGGGCAAGCAAGGCAGTCCAGAGTCAGCAAGCTCAATCCATGGTATTTTGGGCACGCCCCGGGCTTAGAGAGGCATACCAGTAAGTTACAAGGCATACTGTGGCAAGGTGGAATGCCTCTGTATATCCTGTGAAGGGGGGGTGCATGTGAAATGTGCAACTCTCTGTATCCATAACAAATGATTGTGTTTGAGATTACTAAAGTTTGTGGAGTAAAGTTAGCTTAATATCAGATACTGCACTGGTTTGTCTGGTTGGTTGGTTTGTGTGTTCTGGGTAATTATGTTAATCAATTTTAGTGCTCAAGTTTGTTGGAAGAGATACGATGAAAACAGTCGAACACTCTGAATTGTTATTTGAACTATAATAATGAAAGTCATCCCCTTAGTGACAGTTCCCAAATAACCAGCAAAATATTGTGAATGCAGTACCTTGGTAAAATGATGGCTGGTGTTTAGATCCTGTCCAAGGGCACTGTCTCTTTCTTGATAAATTAAGACATAATTTCTTAATGCCTTTAATTCAAAGCAGAAGCATTAATGACAGATTTGATACTGTTGCCACTGAGGTCATGGTTATTAAAATGGAGGGCCACCGGTCGCAGTTGCGTTGCCCATTGTTTTTTATAGTCATGAGAGAGTGTAGAAAATGTAACGTTTTCTCTTGCTATAATTTCTGGTTTCCTAAATTACTGTTTCTGAAGATCATTCCGTTTTATTGTGCGCTAACACTTCTTAAAGGGGTGTTTTAAAGCATTTTACAACCCACAGAAAGGAACAACAGGTTGAGTGACATGGATTACAAAGTGCTAGCACAAATTAAGATTTCAGCTGTCAGTTGCTGGTTTTGTGCAGTCAGAAACATCTGTGGTTAGGTAGCTTGAAAGATTATAGTCTGTTTAGATAGCTGAAACTGTTTTGTTTTGCTTGGTTTAGAAAGTATGCAGATTATTTCAAATGTTCTGCCTGTAAGGAATGTAAAATTGTTGAGCTGTCTCAGTATGAACTTAATACCCCTCGTTCGCTATGCTTTGCCAACTTTTAGTCCATAATTCCATTCAAACCTTCTATTGTCTGAATGAAAAATTAAACGTTGTAGAATAGACGCTGGTTTGTTTGCTAGCAGCAGACAGCATGCTGCCGTAAATGAAACAGTACCAAGCTGGGTTGTTTGTTGTTTTTTTAAATATCAAACAAACTTTGTTCCCAAGAAAGGTGATGGTCAGATAATTGCCCCCCCCAACCCGCCCTTGCAAATGTGAGTCTATGCAGAGCTTTATAGCACATTCAGTAAAGAGAGGTTTCTGTGTCTGGTAGCTTACAGTCGCTAACACTTTGATTATGAGAAAGAATGGATGGGAAAACCTCAGGTAAATATAGAATAAATGTGAGCAAAGGCATGTTTTGACTTTGTGGCAAGGTTGAAGAAGAGGGATGGATTTAGACATGGGCTTCACAGAGGGAGGTTGAAGTATTGTTGAGGAATATGAGAAAAAGTTGAAATTAGGCATTGCTTCACCCTGTGATACTCTAGGTGAACCTAACTCTTATCTCTCCCAGTTTTGCTTATATTGTTTTATAAGTTTAAACCATTTTTGTCTTGCAGTTACAGGGATCCATTAAGAGAAAGGTGGAAGATGACAGTTCCCCAGCCTCCAACACCCTGCATGATGCCATCTTTCCAAGTGACAATAAGAGACTCTGTCTTGATGATGTCACACTCTCTATGGGACAAGGGACCAATCCTGTTTCATGTTCAGATATACAGCACTCTCCGTTCTCCACCAATCATGGTGCATCGTCAATGGGAGTGACAGGGCATGGAATGCTGCTCGAAAATAATCACATGAATGGCAGTGGAATAGGGTCCCCATTTTCAGTGCCATCTAACACTGAAGTAGGACAGAAAGGACCCATGGGTGGCCACTACGATGAGAAAGGGAGCAACATGCATTCTATGGACCAAGAGCTGCAAGATTTGTTAGAAGAACTGACAAAAATGCCAGATCCTCCTCCCAGTGAGTTGGATCTTGAAAAAATCTTGGGAAGCAAAACTGAGGAGTCTCTTGGGAGTCTTGGCCACTCACAGTCAACCATCAACAGCCCTCCAAAGCCCTCTCCACAGACTCCACATTTAGAGAACCATTTGCCCAACAAAGACTTTTCTCCGGGATGCAACCCTACCAGTGGTGGGTCACCTCAAATGAGACCTTCATCAGCTGGGGCAAACTATCCTGTTCCGTCCCAAAATAAAGCTGTTGCTTCACCCATTTCTTCAAGTGCAGCAAGCAAGAGCCAAACACAACCTATGCTCCCAGTACCTTTGCCAAATATGACTAGCCCCAATTGGCATGCACAGCAGCTAAAACACTTGGCAGCAAGCAAGCAAGTCCCAACCACCAAGCACCAAGCTCCCAGCTGGCCTACTATAACGTCACAAGGCCTCTCCCCACCTTACCGACAAGGATCATCACCTCACCATCAGCCATTCAGTCCTCAGAATGCCATGGTGTCTGGAATGGGCTCTAATGGCTTGTCGAGTAGCAGCATTCAGAGTCCTCAGAACTCCTTGCTCTCAAGCATAACGTCTAGTAGTAATCCGTCTGGTGGTCCATCTCCACCTTTTGGCCCTGAGAAGCTTTCCAGTCCAGTTCTCAACCAACAACCTTTCAGCCCTCCGAATCCCATCCTTCCCAACATATCTGCAGCCAGCATTCCGACCAAAAGCCCACAAAACAACCTGCTGTCTCCAAATACGGGACCTTCGCCGCCCTACCGACCAGAGAAGCTTTCGAGCCCTGCTCTACATCAACAGTCCTTTAGCCCTCAAAGTACTTTAATCCCAAACATCACGCCCACCAGCAACCCAACAAGCATGCAGAGCTCCCTTTTCAAATCAATATCGGGAACCCAGTCCAAAAACATGAATATGATTATGCAGCAGTCCTCCAATGGCATGCAACCAGCTTTGGTGAGTGAAGGTCCCATCGGCCAAGACCAGTTTTCCTTCAATAACACCAAGCCGTTGTCCCATTTCAGTTCTGAGCCTACCACTCCTCAGAAGATCTCACCGATGACTTCAAGTTCTGGGCAGCAGTCACTCATTCACTATCTCCAGCAGCAGCAGCAGCAGCAACAGCAACAACAACAACAACAACAAGCTGCCACTTCACAGCAGTCCCAGCAGGTTAACAACAGGCAGTTCATCCAGCAGCAACTGCAACAGTTGATGCAGCCCTCTCGGATGCAGCGGCACGTGCAACCCTCTCCCTTGCCTTCATCCTCTCGACAGGTAAGTTTGTCTGTTATGATGATGATGATGATGATGATGATGATGATGATGATGATGATGATGATGCAGCTGCATAAGTAGCTTTTTGTGCTTTAATGATGTCCCCCTGTCCTTAACTACATTTTGTATGTGGCATTGTTTGGGCCATAAGATTTTCCACCTGGTACAACAGGAGAACAAACCTCACATTCATCTGTACAACTAGTTATGGGGCATTGCTCCCACCCATTCAGAGTGCTTAGAACGGGACTAGTGTTGTGGAGTAGGTTATAAAAATGAATGAAGCTGGAAACACTATCGAGCAAAAAGGGCAGCTGTAGGATTGTTCCTAAGCACCCAGGGTCCTTAAAAAGTGTGTGTGTGTGTGTGTGTGTGTGTTGGAATTAAGCTGAGCATTGAATGATTCCGCTTCTGTAGGAAGGAGGTTCTACACGTAGGGGCTGCTACAGAAAAGCCTCTGCCTTGTGCTCCAACTGCTACTGGCTCTCTTAGCAAGAGGATGGATCTCAGGTTAATCTAGAAAGGAGTGTGTGAGGTATCCTAGCATCAAGTTTTTTTTCTTACAGGGATATTTCACATCACTTCACCTGCAAAGTATGAAACCAGGTAGGCTCTGCAGATAAAAATGTTTTGAACGGCCTTGAAATATTTGTTGCAACCATTCTTCCAGAATGACCTGCTTTTGATAAAAGCCTTATTTTTCTTTCTTTTGGGGATTCGATTACATGCAGAGTAACAAAAACAAAGAATTGCCATGGGCAGGCTGGCTTCTGAGACCCTTGTACAAGGAGCTCTCCAGTGAGCAGTTCATTAGGAAGAAGTGCTTCCTAATGAGCAGCCAGGCATCTGCTGTGATGGCGGATCTGTGTCTGAGAGAGAATGGCTTCCGCTTGTTTTGGGAACAAACCTGTCTATATGAAATATAAGGTCTTATACATTTCCAGATTCAGTTAACGCTAGCACAACCGTAGAACCTGTTTCCCAACAGAGAGGCACAGCTGGACCAGCCAGACAAGTTCATCCAGCTGACAAAGCTCTGTCATTTGCACATGTCTGAGTTTATCTTAACTACTCACACTACACTACCACTCTGAGCGCACTCATGTCATCTGACTTTAGAAGCAAAGCAGGGTGGGCCTTGGGCAGTTCTTGCATGGGAGGCCTCCAGGTGGAGATCTCCAAGTAGAGCTAGGACAAACTCCTTCCTGAAACCCTGGAGAAGCACTGCTTGTCACAGTGAACAGCACTAGGCTAGACGGGCCAATGATGTGACTCAGCATAAGGCGGCTTATTGTGTTCCTGTATAACTAGAGAGATAGTACTTGATCTGTTCAAACATGCTTCAAGTGCATCCTCTTCTGCATCTCTCAGGCACACAAAGGATGCTCCAACATGGAGAGTTTCTCAAGCATGCTCACCAGTGCTTCTGTGACCCAGGTTCATGTGCTCAATGATTCCCTCATCTTCAACATGGGTGATGATGACTGGCCTCAGTCTGTAGGGGAGGAAGGTACAGTGCCAGGGGGCACTAGGGCTTAGCTATATAATTTGTGTACAGTGCCTGGACTGACCTTTAGAACAAAGGAGGGCCTTTCGTCGTACAGAAGAAAAAACATGGACTCGGTAGCTGAGTGTATTCATGCCTGCAAATGCAGTTTCAGAAATAAGGAGCCCTTTGGTATGGTGGGCCTTTGTTTTCTTTAGACTCTTTCCTGTTTGTACCTGAAACAATCAAGCCGGGGGTCCAAAGATCTTCTGCACTAATGAGCTGTAAGAATCCAAGTCTATTGTGACCATAAATATGAGCAAAGAGAATTTCACATTTTCAATTCAGTTAGGTTAGCTCATGATGCCTGGCTGCTTTTACTAGCGAAGACTTACAACATTAATTATGTTCTAAATGACAGTTCTGCTCTGGATTTTATATAGCTTGTTAAGTTGTCACTGAATAACAAGTGAGTAGAGGATCAGGGCATTTCTTTTTAAGAGCTTAATGGCTTTTATCACAGAACGTGGATTCTGAGTGCAAACAGCCCATCTGAGACATAAATGGATTATCACAATTCTAGAATTGCTCATCAGGTTTTCTTTCATAATGTAGGAGTTCTGTTGCTCATGAGTAAAGAAAAGGAGCCTGAGCTGATTGAGTGCATGGAATAATCAACTAATTAATCACATGTTGATTTGGGGTTTGTAAATTAAAGTTCAAGAAGAATGATCTGTGTTCAAGCGGTATTTCAAACAGATAAAATGGTAATCTGTATGAGAGTCTTGATCCCAGCAGTAAGGCTGAAAGGTTTGTTCTTGAAACAAGGACAGTTTTGTTATTCTTGTTTGATCCCTGAGAAGAGGTTATCTTAATTATTATTATTTTTAAGAAGGCATTTCAGTTTGAGAGTCTTCAATTAACTCGCCATTTGAAAGCAGGATGGAAGTTTCTTTAGATTTTAGATTAATATGGCTCCATAGCTCAGGTTGTCTTTACTGACAACTTCAAAACTCATGAAGTGAAACAGAATTACTGTATTGATTCCTCTTTTTAGACGTGTTTATTCAATTTCTGAACTCTTTATTCCTCTACACTGTATGGCCCACCTGTGCAATGTGATTTTGCTACTCCTTCAAAAAACAGGGAAGCAGTAAGAAATGAGTGACTGACTACACAGTCCTCATCACTGGGGCAGGAAGGGTAGAACTGGGAATGTGTTGATAAACAAAAGATGCATGAGCAGTACAGTTCTGCTTTTCAGTAACTCTTACCATGACAGAATACATGTATTCCTTTCTGAAATATGAATTACATCAAGAATTGGAAACTACGTACAATATACTCAAGCACTATCACTCCTTTGGTTTGCCAAAAACGGTATATGTGGGCAAAACAAGGTTCAGAAAGAGGGAAGACTCATGTCCACCGGAGGGCTTTGAAGACGAAAGATCCACTCTCCCTCTTCATTTCCTTTTTTTTCCTCTATTGTTTTCCACATTTTTCCTGTGTTGGAAGGAGGATCTGGGAAAGCAGTCCCAGGAGCTACCCAAAAGGCCTTGGTGACACCTATATGCGGACAGTGGGCTGCTGCAGAATTGCCACACCTTGCTGTGGGAATCCTTTTCAGATGTTTTCAAAGTGTATAAAGGGATAGGCTGGCTGGGGGCAGGGCCTTCCTGCGGGGTGCCCTGGGGTCATCAATATCTCGATGCTGTTTAACATCTATGATAAGCCATTGGGGGAGGTGATCAGGAGATTTGGACTAAGGTGTCATCAGTATGCTGATGACACATAAGTCCTATCTCTCCTTTATCACCTCTTCAGTGAAGGCCATCCAGATGCTTGAGCAATGCCTAGCTTTGGTACTGGAATGGACCAGGGCTAACAGGCTCAAGCTGAACCCAGACAAGACAGAGATTCTGTTCCTGGGGCGGGGGCTCTGATAGGTTGTGGGGTCATCCCTAGACTGTGTGGTGCTGCCCTCCCATTTAGAATTAAATTTTACAATCTGGGCTTTCTTCTGGACCCGGCTCTTTCTTGGGACTTCCCGTTTGCAGCTGTGTCCAGATAAGCTTTTAATCAGTTTAGCCTTATCACCCAGCTCTACCGCTGCCTATATGAAGGCTCCCTCAGGGCATTGGTGCAGGCATTGGTCATCTCCCAGACCGACTACTGCAAAGCTGTCTCCGTGGGTCTGCCTTTGGGCCTGATCCGGAGACTAGAGTCGGACCAGAACATAGCGACCATCATGTCAGTTCTGGGTAGCCTTCATTGGTTACCCGTTGCGTCCTCTATCAAGTTCAAGGTTTTAACACTTACAGTACATATAAAGTCCTCCACAGTATGGGACCAAATTACCCATGTCATCTGCCCAACCCACCAGATCCTCCCAAGCTAGGCTCCTCTGTGTAGCCACCCCAAGAGAGGACCAGAAATCTTCTACTAGGGGTGGTGCCAATGTTATGCACCTGTCTCCCTCTCTGTATTCATTCAGGAGGCAGCTAAAAAAATACTCTTTAGGGTGGCCTTTCACGTCGAGCCTGACTGGACATCCTGCCTCCTGTTTCCACTTCAGACTGAGAATTTACTGCACAATTGGTTTTCTAGTTTTTTTAGATTGTTTTATTATTGGTATGGTATTTTGATACTGTATTTTGTTTTGCTGTAGTTCTATTTTGACTGTCTGCAAACCACCCAGAATAGTGCTTTGGCACTAATGGGAGGGTATATAAATCAAAGTACAGTAATATATAAATAACTTCCTTGACCAGAGGCAATTTTTTTATTGTGGCATGGTCCTATCGAGCCACTGACCCACAGGTCTGCAGGGGGCTTAGTTTCATTCCCCACTGCCTAGCGTCTGTGCTTGAGGCTGAGTTGTAGCCACTCACCTTCTGCTGTCCAAAGATAGGAGCTGGGGCTGAGTTTTAAGTACTGACCACCCGACACCCCTCAGCGATGGCTGGTAATGTCAGGCTGATGAGAGTCCTCTGGCGGGAGCTGCTTCTCCCTGTCTGGGGCCAGGCATGCCACCCAGTCCCTAAATAGCAATTCTTAGACCCACTAATAAAATAATTAACTAGAATCAGCGCTCTGCTGTCTCATCTCTGGTGGGAGAGGAAGAATCAGAAGAGAGAGTTTGTTAGGGTGACAATGAGGAAGGATGCCTTTTCTGCATATTTAAGAGTAACAATGGCATAAGTGCAAAGCTTGGAAATGCTGTCCTTTATATGTTGTCTAAGGGATTCTGGGAGTTGGACTCCATAGAGTAACTTTCCCAACTCTGTCAAAGTTTCCTGTTCACCTTTAAACAGCATTCTGGGACATTCTGTTTGTGTGTTCAAAGGTTCTATTTTTCTGTTTTGCCCATGTGTTTAGCAAATGTGGGTCAAACTGACTTTCTCATATTTTCATTTCTCTGGCCTCACTCCACTCCAGCTCAGCATAAAATGTGAATCATCTTTAACATAATCTTAGACCTGTTGAGCTTCCTGGAAGGGACCTATGGTGA